GGTCAGACCGCAATGGCTTACTACAGGAGTATGTGGACTCCCAAGGACATCGAGGTAGCCAAAGGTCTGTCTCAGAGGGAGGTGTTCAGCCAATTTCCCTTATCCGCCATGGAGGTAACTTCTGCCCCTTAGTCAATAAATCTTTACACATTCTTTACACTTATTTTCTTCTAACCATCTGCTCGGCTTAACCAGTTGCCCTGTATATCTCTACAGACCTTGTACGGGATGATGGCTAGGTCCGCGCGCTTTCTGACAGCCTTAATGCAGCGAACAAGGAGAATGCCAAGGTCCGCGCGCTTTTTGACAGCCTTAATGCAGCGAACAAGGAGAACGATGATTTGGCTGCTCAGAAGACCGGGTTGATGGTTCAGCTTGGTAAGATTGAAAAAGATAGGGATTCGCTGAGGAATGAGACTGACTCTCTTCAGGATGAGAGGAATGCTCTGCATCTTGAAAAGAGCGTCTGGCACACCGAGCGGAAATCCTTTAAGGCTGAGAAGGAAGAACTGCTACGCCTTCTGAGTGATGAGCAATCCGCTCGGATGGCCTTTGAGAAAAGGGCCTTGGAAGAGCGCAACGCTTTACTTGATACCATTAGTAGGGTAAATGGTGGTATGCTAGCTCTACATGCTCGGTTTTCTAGAGTTGGAACTCTCAGATATGCTCAGGGGTTCCGAGAGGGTTACGCCGATCGCGTTCCGGATGAGGGTCAGACTGGTTCTACCCCTGATAATATTGATAAAGAACTGGATATTGACCCTCTTGGTGTTTATACCGATCCAGACTCCACCATTGTCGAGGGTATATTTGATGAATGTCAGGAGATTGCGTCTTCTCGGATCACTCCTACTCCTGCTGCTGCTCTAACTTTGGACATTCTTCCTCTGTCCACTTTGACTCCATCTGCTGTTACTGCTGAAGATAACCCTCAGCAGAATGATTCTTCCAACGCTGTTGTGGGTAGGACTCAACAGAACGATTCTGTCATTCACCTCGACTCTCCACCTCGTGAGGATGGCGACACCACCAATAGTGAGGAAACAGCCCAACATCATCAAGAGGCTAACGAGGCAAATGCCTCTTAGTTAGAACTTTTTTTTTTTTTTTTTTTTTAAATGTACTGACTTTGGTATATTCGCCATCTTTACACCTCATTCATTTTTTTTTGTAACTCTCTAAACTTTATTAATGAGATAGCCGACTTTTGATCAAACTTTTTATGTAAACTCTTCTTTCTCTTTTTTTTTTTTTTTTAGCAAGTGTTTGGCGTTCGGCTCATAGTGCCAGCTGCCACTTACTTTGCTCAAGCGCCTGGCGTTCGGCTAGAATGCCACTTGCCACTTGACCCTCTATTTTTCTTAGCAAGTGTTTGGCGTTCGGCTCATAGTGTCAGCTGCCACTTACTTTGCTTAGGTGCCTGGCGCTCGGCTGGAATGCCACTTGCCACTTGGCCTTTTATCTTTCTTAGCAAGTGTTTGGCGTTCGGCTCATAGTGCCAGCTGCCACTTACTTTGCTTAGGTGCCTGGCGCTCGGCTGGAATGCCACTTGCCACTTGGCCTTTTATTTTTCTTAGCAAGTGTTTGGCGTTCGGCTCATAGTGCCAGCTGCCACTTACTTTGCTTAGCCTTTTAAAGATGAGTGTAATCTTTATAAATCTCAGAAACTTATACATTCGACTATTTTCAATTTAAAATGAACAAAATTCATTATTGAATCTAAACTTTTTATTAATAATACCTCTTCAGAGAAGTAACATTCCAAGGCTTGTTAACCAGCCTTCCGGCCATGGTTTCTAAGGTATATGCCCCTTTTCCCGTGGCCTCTGCAATTCTGTATGGGCCTTCCCATTGTGGCATCATCTTTTTGACTATCCTCACCTTCTTTTTCAGAACCAGATCACCTGGCCTAAAGTCTTTATGTTTAACTTTCCTGTTATGGCTGTTCGCAAGCGTCTGCTGGTAAGATGCGAGCCTTACCGCTGCTGCGTCTCTTTTTTCTTCCAGCAAATCAAGGTTAAACCTTAACATACTGTCATTATGCTCACGGTTCCATGCCAAGCTTCGAACAGTCGGAACTAAGTACTCGACTGGTATAACTGCCTCGGTTCCATACGCCATGGTGAATGGGCTTTCTCCGGTAGGTCGTCTAGGGGTCGTTCTGTAGGCCCATAGGACGTTCGGCAATTCATCTAACCACCTTCCTTTCCTTTCCTCTAGTTTCTTCTTGATACAAGTAAAGATTGCTCTATTTGTAATTTTCGCCTGTCCATTGGCCTATGGGTGACTTACTGCTGCCAGCTTTTGATTAATTCCATATTCCTCCAACAGCTCTCTTACTTGCTTACTGTCAAGGTTGGTACCATTATCCATGACGATTGATTTCGGAACACCAAACCGGCAAATAATATTACTCCAAATGAATCGTCTCACATGAGTTTGAGTAACGCTCGGATATGGCTCTGCTTCCACCCACTTAGTAAAGTAGTCTGTAGCCAGTAGCACATACTTGTTCTGAGCTCTGGCAGTTGGTAGAGGACCAACTACATCCATCCCCCATTGTGCGAAAGACCATGGTGTGGCCATTACATGCAAGTCTTCAGGTGGTTGGTGAATCAGTGGTCCGAACTTTTGGCACTTATCGCACCTTCTAGACAATTCTTCTGAATCTCTCGACATGTTCGGCCAGAAGTACCCTTGAGCCATTGCTTTGTGTGCTAATGATCTCCCCCCTGAGTGGTTTCCACATACGCCTTCATGAATAGCTCGTAATATTTGTCGAGCCTCTGTAGGGGTAACACACTTTAAATACGGTCCGGAAAAAGATCTTCTGTATAACTGGCTATGCACTACGGCGTACTTCGCAGTATTCGCGTTGATTTTCCTAGCCTCATCTCTTTGTTCAGGCAAAGTACCATCTCGGATGTAAGTTATGATCGGATCAATCCAACTTGGCTCATATGGAATAACATTCACTTGCCAAGGATTCGAGCCTGAAGGTTCTTCGAAAATGGATGGCTAGTTTAATATTCCCACTGGAATCACCCTTACCAATGTTTCTCCAGAACCCGAAGCATTACATGCTAGCCTGTCAGCATCTTCGTTATACTCCCTCGGAATTTGAATGAATTCAATTTTTTCAAAGTTCTTCGCCTCCCGCATAACAGCAGAACGATATGCTTCCATCGTTTCATCCTTGGTTTCATACTCACCCCTCACCTGCCGAATGATTAACTGTGAGTCACTAAAAACATTTAAATTCCTGACCTTAAGTTCCTTGGCAAGCTTTATTCCTGCCAGCAACGCTTCATACTTGGCCTTATTGTTCGTGGCTGCGAATTTAAGCCGAAGCGCTTGGCTTAAGGCTGTACCTTCTAGCGTCTGCAGTTTGATCCCAATACCTGCACCCATCTGATTTGAGGATCCATCGACGAAAAGTTTCCATAAGCAACTACAAAGATCCTCCTCCAGGTCTTCTGAATCACATTTCAGTAAAAAATCTGCCACCGCTTGCCCTTTGACTGCTGTTCTAGGTTCGTATGTGATATCAAATGAGCTTAACTCTATGGCCTACTTCGTCATTCTTCCTGAGAGATCTGGTTTGTGCAGGATTATTCTGATAGGGAAAACGATTAGAACGATGATAGGATGGGATTCAAAATAATGCCTGAGCTTTCTTTTCGCATGCACTAGCGAGAGTATCAGCCGCTCTGCCTTTGAATAACGTCTTTTGGCCTCAGTCATTGTCTTGCTAACATAGAACACTGGATATTGCCTCCCTTTTGCGTAGCGGATCAGAACGCCACTTGTCGCGATGCTGGATACTCCGAGATATAAAAACAGTTTTTCGCCCGATTCTGGAGTTGACAGTACCGGAAGGTTCTGCATATATTTTTTCAGAGTAGTTAACGCTAGGCGCTGTTCATCCCCCTAAACCTACTTGCCGTGGTTCCGTATTGTGTCAAAAAATGGTTTGCATCGATCTGACAATTTGGAAATGAAACGGCTCAGTACAGCAATCCGTCCCCGTAAGTGTTTGCACTTCTTTGATTGTCGTCGGCTCGGCATTCTTAGTCAGAGCATCTGCTTAGGCAGGGCTTGCCTTGATGCCTCTGAGATTAACCACGTGCCCTAGGAATTGGCCTGAACTTACACTGAATGAGCACTTGGTCGGATTGAGCTTCATTCCATATCGCCTCAACACATCAAACACGTCTCGAAGATGCTGCACATGATCAGCTTTCTTCTTACTTTTGACCACAATATCATCAATGTAAGCCTCAACTGTCTTCCCTATTTGTTCCTTAAAAATCTTGCTAATAAGTCTTTGGTAAGTTGCTCCGGCGTTCTTCAGTCCGAATGGCATAACTTTGTAGCAATACGTCCCGTGTTCGGTAACGAAAGAAGTTTTTTCCTTCATCAGCGGGGTCCATGGGGATTTGATTATAACCTGAATAAGCATCTAAAAAGGTCAAGCGTTTATATCCAGTAGTTGCATCCACCATTTGATCAATCTTTGGCAGCGGGAAGCTATCCTTCGGGCAGGCTTTGTTTAAATTGGTAAAATCAATGCAGACGCGCCATTTCCCATTTTTCTTCTGCACAACGACCACATTCGATAGCCAGTCGGGGTAGTACACTTCTCTTACAAACCCCACATCAAGCAGCTTGTCAACCTCCTCGGCAATAATCCGGTTGCGCTCGGGGGCAAACCGTCGCTGCTTCTACTTTACAGGTTTTGCATTGGGGTTAACGTTCAAGGAGTGACAAGATACCGAAGGATCGATCCCTGGCATGTCTAGGTGACTCCATGCAAATACATCTGCGTTTTGAGACAAAAAATCAACTAATTCCTGATTTTCCTCCTCAACGAGTCGTTCCCCTACTCTGGTTGTCCGTTCCGGTCGGAACTAATCGATCTGCACATCAAACAGGGGTTCTTCAGTCAAGCCTACTGGTTCCTCCTCCCCATTCTGCTTGGAGGGAGGCTTCTGTAATTGCTATCTCAGACTTATTGAACGAATGGGAGCTTTCCCCTTTCCGGCATGTTTCAGCGTTACAGAATGACATTCTTTAGCTGCAACTTGGTCTCCATGAATGTCAATCACTTTGGTTCCGTCTAGCCTGAGGCATCTTATTACCTGATGCAAAGTGGAAGGAATACCTTGAACTCTGTGGATCCACCCTCTGCCCATCAGAAGATTGTAAGAGGGATGAATTTCAACAACCACAAAGGTTTCCGTCAAAACCCTCTCGGCAGCATGTACCGCTACCTCCACCGTGCCGACGGGCTCCACTCGCTTTCCATCAAACCCTAATAGTGGATTCCCGGTGGATTTCAGCCGATCCTGTTTGATCTCGAGCCGATCAAATGTATCTCTTGGCATGATGTTCGCACTACTTCCAGGGTCAATTGGAACTCTACACACCAAGCATTTAGCCACTGTCAAACTTACGAGCAACGGGTCCTCATGAGGGATTTGAACACGCAACAAGTCTGTTACGTTAAACTTTATCTGCGTTGATGCACTCTGTTGGTGCAGAGTGTTTACATTGCCTATCCTTCTCTTCATCCGTGCCTGGCGAAGGCATGTTCGAAGCAGTTCATCTGATTCCTCGGCAGGTTCTGGCCGACCATGAATTACATTAATTACGCGAACTGGTTGCGTATTGTGAGAATTCGACTTCTGATTCTTCTTCACGTGCTCCATTGGTCGGTTCTGCTCCACTGCTGGTCCTTGAATATAACTTGCAAACTCCCCTCTGGCTATCAGCATCTCTACCTGTCTCCTTAGGTTCCTGCATTCGTTAGTCTGGTGGCCAAAATCAGAATGAAATGCACAGTGCTTAGACTGATCCCTCTGTTCGAGAGGTTATCTGATTGGTAAAGGAGGTCGGAACTTATCTTTATTTTCTTGGTACAGTCTCGCTAGGGTAACTTTCAATGGAGTAACCAACTCTTCATCTCTGGGCCTCTTCTCAGACTTCCACGAGGAGCGTTGCGGCTGAACCTGTTTTTGCCTGATCTTTGCTTTGGTCTTTTCTTCCGTGGATATAACGGATGTCTTCCGAGCGTTTACCGTCTCTTCTTCTTCCAAGCGCACAAATCCATCGGCTCTTTCGTTAAGTTCATCCATAGTCCTCGGCGTGTTCACCACCAAGCTTGTGTGGAATGGGGTGCCACGGTTCATGGCCAGTATGAATGCTTGAACTGCCGTTAAAGGGTGACATTCAATAACCATGCTCTTGGTAAGATTAAACCTAGTTAGGAAAGCCTGGAGACGCTCTTCAGCGTGTTGCTTCATTGTGAATAGGCTCAAAATATCTTTCGCTGGACGCTTGTTTCCATAGTATTGGCTTATGAACCGATCACACAAGCTTCAGAAACTATCCACTGAACCCCTCGGCAGATTCTTGAACCAATTCAGAGCTGGTCCGGCCAGACTCGTAGGAAAGCACTTGCACATCAAAGAGACATTCTCAGTGTTTAGAGCCATTTTCAGCTGGATGTGATACACGTGATCGATCGGATCAGTCGTTCCGTCGAACAGAATGAAAACGGGCATGAAAAATTTCCTCGGACTCAGAGCATTCAGAATCTCATCGGTGAACGGTGAATCAACCGTTCGAGCTGCTGAACGGAGCGCTTCATTTTCCATCTGGAACCCTGTGGCTGTTCTCTGGTCTACTGATCTCCTCTCTGAGCTTTGATAGTCGAACGTTGCCATGGAAGGCCGATAGGTCGGATCGAGTGATCTGTCCTCAACAAAGTCTTTGCGCCATGGAGGCATAGCTTTCTGACGAATCAACTCTGTTGCCTCACCTCGGCTGAGCGTTTCTTGATGTGGATCAAAAGTCATTGTTTCGTTTCGCCTAATCTGCTCGCGCCGTGGATCTATGTGAGTTGATCCTTCACGATCATCAATACGACGAAGATTTGGCGGCAAACCGTCTCGCCGGATTTCCTCGCGGTGAGGATCTACTAGATTGTTTCCAACCTCCTCACCGTGATGTGCTGCATCGGTACGTGCACCTTCTTCTCCTACCGGGAGTGGTCGTGGAATTACTGGAGCTTCTTGACGCTGCATTTCAGTCCTTAGATCCGTATTTTCTCTCCGGAGAGCTTCGATCATGCATCAACTCATCAAGTTTCACTTGCTGGACGTTCTTAACCGCATTAGAGTTGTCACCCCCTATCATGATTCCGGATCGAAGCAAAGGCATGAATTACGAACTCCGAAACAGATCTAAGCGTTACCGATGCAAACTCCGTTAGATTTGGGCTTAACTTCACCGAATCGTGATCACTGTTTGCTAGATCTGAACTTTTCTAGCTTCAAACTCATCGGATCTGACTGCAACTGAGCAAATCACAATTGCGTCATTCCGAAGCAAATGCCTCAGAATCCACAATAAGCAAGAATTCTCTCTGAACAAACTACAATCTCACTGATCTGGATTCAATTTCTAGAAATCACACTGCGTACTCACAAACTCGATTGAACTAATATGGTACTGATCGGGCTCGAATTGATCTTCATCCTCAATTCCCACAGACGGCGCCAATTGAAGATACAAGATTTCACTTCTTTTCTCTTTTCCTCTCTCTCTCTCTCTAGAATTTTTTCTCCCTCTTTTTTCCACCTGTCTTGGTCTATTTATAGGCCATCACCCTTATTGCTGTTAACCGATTACATTGGGCCTATATTCAAAAGTCTTCTTTCTTCTGAGCTTGATCTTCCAATGGGCTTGACCTTCCTCGGTGGATCCCCCAGGTTCGGCCCATTCCGGGGCGCTTTGGCATGGATCCTACTTTAATCGTTCGACCCGATCCCCTGCCCGCGAACTATATCCGGCCCATGCCACTTGCTGCATCCTCAATATCATTTATCATTTTATCAATTAAAAGGAATTAGCAAGATGATGAAATAAATTTTGTCATATTAAAAGTTTTTTAAAAAATAATTTCTACAAAACTCTAAAAATTACCTAATAAATCAATCACAATAAAATATTTATTAATTGATATAAAAAGAATAGTTATTTTTTTATGGATAATTATCACAATATAACCGGCCCGCCCCAATTTTGATTATGTCATTATCAGGAGAGGACACATGTCATCATCCTATTAATCCAAGAAGCCTATAAATAAATGTATGGAGAAAGGAGGAAGAGGTACAGAAATTGAAAATTCTAGAAATCCAGAATTTCAGAGTAAAATACAAAAGCTCAGCCGAAGAGTTTTAGTATTTATTTATTTATTAAAAAAATATTTATTAATGGATATAAAAAGAGTTTTTATATATACAATTGTTAAATAAACAAAGTGTTTTAGTATTTATTTATTTATATAAAAAAATATTTATTAATTGATATGAAAAAAAGTTTTTATATATATATAATAAAATAAATTAAAAAAAAACTCTATAAAACTCTGAAATCTAACTAACAAAATTTTAATTAACCTATCTATCTATTTATTATTATGAATTTTTTAATAAAAAAATATAGGTAGACAAGAATTATTAATATAAAAAATATTTATTAATTAACAAATAAAATAAAATAATTTCTCTAAAACTCTACAACAAATTAGCTTTTATTATAGTTTCTTAATAAAATTAAATCTAATTAAACAAGGATATAATTATAAAAAATAAAATAATTTCTTTAAAACTCTTTTACAAATTACCTATTTTATTTTCAAAAAAATTCAATCACACCAGATAAAGATATATTTAAAGATTTTCTATAAAACTCTAACACAAATTACATATTTATCTATTTATTATGAGTTTTTTAACAAAAGAAAATCTAATTAGCCAACTATTATTATTAATATAAAAAATTATTTATTAATTGATATAAAAAGAGGTTTTAAAAAAGTTTTTATAAAAACTCTAAGACAAATTACATATGATTTTATTTATTATGAGTTTTTTAATAAATGAAAATCTAATTAGCCAAAATTATTAACATAAAAAATATTTATTAATTGACATAAAAAAGATTTCTTAAAAGAGTTTCTATTAAACTCTAACGCAAATTACCTATTTATTTATTTATTAAAAGTTTTTTTAATAAAAGAAAATCTAATTAGACAAGAATTATTAATATAAAAAATATTTTTTAATTAATTTAAAAAATAAAATAATTTTTCTAATACTCTACCACAAATTACCTTTTATTATGAGTTTTTTTTAATAAAATGTAATCTAATTAGGCAAGAATTATTAATATATATAAATTTTTATTAAATCATATAAAAATAGGTTTCAAAAGATTTTTTTTATAAAACTCTTAAACACGTATTACGTATTTATCTATTTATTATGAGTTTTTTAATAAAAGAAAATATATTTAAGCAAGAATATATTTAAAGAAAATAAAAATTTTCTATAAAATCTACTACAAATTATCTAACTCTAAAATCTACCTAATAAAATTCAAATTAACATATTTATCTATTTATTATTATGAATTTTTTAATAAAAAAAAATCCAATTAGTCAAAAATTATTAAAATAAAAAATATTTATTAATTGATATATAAAATAAAGCGATTTTTCTAAAATTCTACCAAAAATTAGCTTTTATTATGAGTTTCTTAGTAAAATGAAATCTAATTAGACAAAGATATATTTAAAGAAAATAAAATAATTTCGATAAAACTCTATCACAAATTACCTATTTTTTCTAAAACTCCACCACAAATTAATTTTATTATGAGTTTTTAATAAATGGAAATCTAATTCGACAAGGATCATTAATATAAATTTTTTTTTTTATTAGTTGATATAAAAAAGAGGTTTTCAAAGAGTTTTTATAAAACTCTAACACAAATTACTTATTTATCGATGTATTATGAGGTTTTTAATAAAATGAAATCTAATTAGAAATGAATTATTAATATAAAAAAGATTTATCAATTGATATAAAAAGAGTTTTTATTAAACTCTAACACAAATTATTTATTTATTTGTTATAAAATATTTATTAATTGATATAAAAAGATTTTTATAAAAATAGTTTCAATAAAGTTTTAAAAATTACCTAATAAAATCAATTACAATAAAATATTTATTAATTGTTATAAAAAGAATAGTTATTTTTTATGGATAATTATTACAATATAACCGGGCCGGCCCAATTATGATTATTTCATTATCAGGAGAGGACAAATGTCAACATCCTATTAATCCAAGAATCCTATAAATAGTGATACGGAAGAAGGAGGAAGAAGGGGTACAGAAATTGAGAATTGTAGAAATCCAGAATTTTAGACTAAAATACAGAAGTATTTATTTATTTATATGAAAAAAATTTATTAATTGATATAAAAAAAGTTTTAATCTATTAAATACAGACGCTCATAAAAAGACTTTTTATCTATACTATTATTAAATGTGCAAAGAATTTCAGTTTTTATTTATTTATATAAAAAAATATTTATTAATTGATATGAAAAGAGTTTTTATAAATAAAAAAAAAAAATCTATAAAACTCTAAAATCTTGCTAATAAAATTCAAATTTATTGTTCTATTTATTATTATTAATTTTTCAATAAAAAATCTAATTTGACAATATTTTTAATATACAAAATATTTATTAATTGATGTATAAAATAAAATAATTTTTCTAATACTCTACCACAAATTAGCTTTTATTATGAGTTTCTTAATAAAATTAAATCTAATTAGACAAGGATAAATTTAAAAAAAATAAAATAATTTTTAAAAAACTCTATCAATAATTACTTATTTTGTTTTAAAAA